ACAATTATAGGTTCTATTTATTTACCTACCCATCTAACCCACAGGGTTGCTCTGAAGACTTAAAAAAAAAAAAAAAAGTCCGTATATATAAAGTGCTTAGAACAGTTCCCCGCACACAATAAACACCATGCGTTTGCTATTATCATTGTGGTTAGCCTCATCACTACTAATTATTTCAGAGGAGTCTAACCCATCTTCAGGCAAATGGAAGGTTAGGAAAAGTTTCCTTGAGGAAGTGACATATAATGAAGTTCCAAAGATGAATATGAATCAAACAGCACAAGAGAAAAACTGTCCGGCACAGGGAAGAACAAACACAACACGCAGACCCTCTGCTAAGAATGAGTTTGGCATGTTAAGAACTAGACAAAAGGCCAATGAAGCTGGGGCTCAGAGGGGAGAGAGGTGAGGCTGGACAACCAGAAAGGGCATGATAAACTTGGGAATTTTATCTTATCTGAAGAACAGAAAGTATTATACAAGAAACAACAGATTTGTTGGTTTTTCTTTTCTTTTCTTTCTTTCTTTTTTTAAAGATCACTTTACTGGACTATGGAGTCTTCTGTGATAGAAGGTGATAGATAGGTGAACGTGAGGTTACCAAAAATGGGTAAAGATTTAGAAAGAACAGTCATTCTGGTGAAAGAGAAAAGAAATCAACTACAGACTACTAAAGAGAATAACAACCCAGAGGAGGGCAGAACTCATGAATTAGCAATAAACACGATTCAATCATTTCTTCGGGCCCTACAGCAGGAACCCAGAAAATGGGCAGCATTATTAAGCCGCAGCTGGAGATGGGCATGGCAGACGGGAGACAGGAACAGAGGAAGGGGGACTGAGGATACTTCTGACTCACTGCAAGTGACCAACTGTGTCCACGTGAACAAAAGTGATGCCAGGAACAATGTCACGAATTTGGAAACCGGCAAGATTTAAGGGGCTGGAGGCCTCAGTGAAATCAGAGAATTAAGTTCAGCAAAGAGCAAAACTAAAAAGACAGGAAATTGTGTCCAGAGAGCAAAATTCCAAATATGTGATTTCAGAGGTGGAAGGCTGACCTGCTCCAGGAACAGACTGAGACAGACAACCAGAGGAAGAGACAGGAGACACAAAGATCAAGCCAGAAGGAGATTAGAATGCCTGACAAGCAATCAACATAAACACTAAAGAGACAAGAGATAGTAGAAGGTGTAAAAGTAAACTATTTACAAGGATTAAGACTTAAATATTCAGTTACATTCTTAAACACAATGCCATGAGGAATGTGTTTTTAAGCATTCAGAATAAAACAGGGCTGCCTTGCTAGTAACAAAGCTTCATCTATTCATGTAGCCAAATAATTTTCAAAGATTCCCTGAATACCATTCCTGGAAAAGCTCTCAGATAAAAAGAGAAGGAAGCTTTCTTAACTTAATGATTATTTGTCACAACTCAAGGGCAAGCATCATCAATACTGGTGAAAACTAAAGTCATACACAACCCAAAACTTGGAAAACATCTTTACAAAACATGTATCTCACTTAAGGACAGGTATCCACAATATACTAAGAACTCTTAAAAGGCAACAAGAAAAACAAACAACAGAAAGCAATTTAAAAATGGGCAAAAAATCTGAACCTCACCAAAGAAGGTACACACAGATGGCAAATGAGCATTATGAAAAGATGCTCACCTATTCTGTGACTGGAGAACCGAAAATTAAAACAATGAGATAAGGCTACACTCCTATTAGCACAGCAAAAATCCAAAACAATGAAAACACCAAATGCTGGTAAGGATGTGGAGCAAGAGGAACTCTCACACATTGCTGGTGAGAATGCAAAACCATCCAGCCACTGTGGGAAACAGTTTGGCAGTTTCTTACAAAATTAAGCCTATACTCTTACCATATGATCCAACAATCATGCTCTTTATATTCACCCAAATGAGTTGAAAACCTAGGTCTACAGGAAAACCCACACGTGGATGTTTACAGCAGCTTTATTTACAATTGCCAAAACTTGGAAGCAACCAAGATGTCCTTCAGGAGGTAAATGGATGACCTAGGGTACATCCAGACAATAGAATATTATCCAGTGATAAAAAGGACGGAGCGTTTAAAAGGACAAGCCACAAAAAGACTTGAAGGAAACTTAAATGCACATTGCTAAGTGAAAAAAGCCAAAGTGATGTACCTAATGTACAATTCCAACCATATGACATTCTGGAAAAGGAAAAATTATGGAAACAGCAAAATGATAAGTGTTTGCCAGGGGCTAGAGGGGAGGGAGGAAGGGAGGGATGAATAGGCAGACATGGGAAATGATTAGGGCAGTGAAACTGTTCTGGCCGATACCAGAATGGTAGATGCACGACATTTTGCATTTGTCCAAACCCACAGAACTACACAAAATAAACGTGGACCCTAATGTAAACTAATAGGGTCTTTCATTAATAATAACGTATCAGTACTGGCTCATCAACTGTAACAAATGAACCCCACTAATACAAGATGTTAACATTAGGGGAAATGGGGGAGGGTAGAAGTGGTAAAGGGGGCATATGGAATTCTCTGTATTCTCTGCTCGATTTGTGTAAATCTAAAATGCTCAAAAAATAAAGTCGATTAATTTCAAACAAAAACTGAAAGTATTACCATTTGAGTCATACAAGAGACAGTAATGTCCAATATTGGTAAGGAAATCTATTCGGGAGATTAAGGGTCTCAGCCCCCGGGGCTGGGGCTGGCTCTTCCACCAACCAGCTGTGCCACTGTCAGCAAGTTATAAACTTCTCCGCTGGAAAACCGGGGGATACTAATCATCATGGAGTTAAGAAGATTAACTGAGTTAGTTCATACACATAAAGCAGTAAGAATAGTGACTACAATGACTTAAGTTGTTGTATTAATTATTACTCAAAGTAAGCTCTATAAACCTGTAAGTCAACACTACGTAGGGGCTTGTCAGAAATGCAGACTCTCACACCCACCCTAGGCCTGCTAAGTCTCCACTTGTTTTTTGATATGCCATCTTTTTCTTTAAGTCTTCATTCAAGTTCCAGTTAACACACAGTATAATTTTAGTTTCAGGTGTACACCACACTGATCCAACAATCACAGACAAGACCCAGGGCTCATCACAACAAGCACACTTCTTAATCCCCATCACCCATTTGGTCCATCCCCCCATCCCCCTCCCTTCTGGTAACCAGCAGCTTGTTCTCTACAGTTAAGAGTCTGTTTCTTGCTTTGCCACCCTCTCGTTCTCTTTCCCCTTTGTTCTGTTTCTTAAAGTCCACGAGTAAGATCCATATGGTAGTTGTCTTTCTCTCATTTCAGTTAGCATCATACTCTCTAGCTCCATCCATGCCATTACAAATGGCAAGATCTCATTCTTTCTTATGGCTGAGTAATAGTCATGGAGTGTGTGTGTGTGTGAATGTGTCTGTGTGTGTGTGCACGCGCGTGCATACGCACCTGTGCATATGTGTGTGCACATCTTCTTTATCCATTTACCAGTCAATGGACACTTGGGCTGTTTCCATAATTTGGCTGTTGCAGACACCGCTGCAGTCAACATCAGGGCGCAAGTATCCATCTGAAGTAGTATTCTTTGGTAAATACCTAGTAGTGCAATTGCTTGAATATGCATTTTAATAAGATTCCTCAGGTAATTTCTATGCATATAGAGTTGAGAAGCACTATATTATATTAGGTAGTATTATTATCACCATAATTATTCTTCAGTATTGTCACTAAAAAAGAGCAAAAACATTGGGATAGTTCAAACTATTACTTGCTGATGATTAGGATGTCTACTTTTAAGAAGAGAGGGAGAATCAACTGTAATGAAATTTTGAAATATTCTTGACAGTGACAGTAATTAAAACATGTACCCTTTATCAAGAATACATGTTAAGAGGTGCCTGGTTAGCTCAGTCAGTGGAGCGCGTGACTCTTGAGCTCAGGGATGGGAGTTCAAGCCCCATGTCTGGAATAGTGATTACTTGCATATCTTTTTTAAATAAATTAGATAAATAAATAAGAGTATACATTAACACGAGAATTTCAAACAAATATATAAGTGACAAATTATTAGGACAACTGGCTACCAATATTTTTTTTTGAAAATCCAGATCCTTATCTCATATTATAATGAAAATATACTCCAAGTGGATTAGAAACCTAAATATTAAAAATAAATTTACAAGCACTAAAAGAATATGGAATATATTTTAAAATTCACTTATTTATTTTGAGAGAGACAGAGAGAGAGAAAGAGGGAGCACAAGTGGATTAGGAGCAGAGGAAGAGGGGGACAGAGGACCTGAAGCAGGCTCTATGCGGAGAGCAGACAGCCTGATACAGAGCTCAACGTCCTAAACTATGAGATCATGACCTAAACAGAAGGCAGACTGTTAACCAACTGAGCCATCCAGGCACCCCACAATACTTTTTTAAATGTTTTTTCTTTTTGAGGGTGGGAGGCGGAGAGAGGGACAGAGAGAGACAGGGAAGAGAATCCCAAGCAGGTTCCATGTTGACAGTGAAGGCTCAAACTCAGGACTGTGAGATGACAACCTGAGCCAATATCAAGAGTTGGACACTTATCTGACTAAGCCATTCAGGCATCCTTAGAATATTTTTAATGTTCTGGGATGCCTGGATGGCTCAGTCAATTAAGTGCCTGACTTCAGCTCAGGTCATGATCTCACAGTTCGTGAGTTCGAGCCCCGTGTCGGGCTCGGTGCTGACAGCTCAGAGCCTGAAGCCTGCTTCAGATTCTGTGTCTCCCTCTCTCTCTGCTCCTCCCCTGCTCATATTCTCTCTTTCTCTCTCTCTTTCTCTCTCTCTCTCAAAAACAAATAAAACATTAAAATTTCTTTTAAAAAAAGAATATTTTTAATGTTCAGATGGGATACCATAAAACTCCTAGGCTTACCTCTCTTAAGGATACCATAAAACCCAGAAGTCATACTGAAACTATAGGGAAAAAAAAAAAACAAAACACCTTTTAGTGCTCACCTTGGCAGCACATATACCAAAACTGAAACAATTCAGAGAGGATTAGCATGGCCCCTGCTCAGGGGTGACATGCACAGCCATGAAGCTAATCTGTATTTTTTATAAAGACATGTAAAAATAAATAAATAAAATCATTTAAATAACAAGAGATACCACAAAAAAGACAAATGCTATGAAAGAAAAGACTTCTACATACATAGCAAAGCATTAATAACATTACACGACTTTTTTCTTTCTTTCTTTAAGAGAAAGTGAGTGGCAAGGGGCAAAGGGAGAGAGAGAGAGAGAAAATCTTAAGCAGCCTCCAACTTCAGCATGAGCCCAACTCAGAGCTCAATCCCATGACCCTGGAATCATGATCTGAGTGGAAAGCAAGAGCTGGATGCTCAAATGACTGAGCCACCCAAGTGCTCCACCTTATACAACTTTTTAAAGGTCTGATGCATGAGAAAGAAAAGAAACAGTAATCTTTCAAAAAGCTAAGAAGGGAGGCGCCTGTGTGGCTCAGTCAGTTAAGCATCTGACTCTTGATTTCTGCTCAGGTCATGATCTCACGACTCATGGGATGGAGCCCCCGCACTGGGTTGTGTGCTGACAGTGCAGAGCCTGCTTGGGATGGTCTCTCTCCCATGCTTTCTTACCCTCCCTACCCTCTCAAATAATAAACATTAAAGAAAAAAGCTAACAAAAATGGGGGTGGGGAAATAAAGTAGATTTTATAGACTTATATGTAAAAAGGCTAAATTACAAAAGCTACAATAGTACAAAATAAAATAAACCCCTAAAGGGGCACCTGGGTGGCTCAATCTGTTGAGTGCCTACTCTTGATTTCAGCTCAGGTCGTGATCCCAGGATTGTGGGATCAAGCCCCATGTTGGGCTATGTGCTGAGCGTGGAGCCTGCCTGCGATTCTCTTTCCTTCTGCCCCTCTTTTGTACACTCTCTCAATCAATCAATATGCTTTAAAAATAATAAAATAAACCCCTGAAAATCTACCTATAAACATTTGTGTGTGCACAGCAAAGTATACAGAACATATACCAAACTGCTACCAGTAGTTATGTATAGAGTGTAAAATCAGGAATGGAAGAAGCACTTTGCTTTCTTCTTTACAAATTTCTAAAAACTGCATTCCTTACAAAGAATCTGCTCTTTTTTAATGTTTTATTTTTTTAATGTTTTATTTATTTCTGAGAGAGAGTGAGAGAGAGAAAGCGAGCAGGAGAGGGTCAGAGAGAGAGGGAGACACAGAATCCCAAGAAGGCTCCATGCTCTGAACTGTCAGCACAGAGCCCGACATGGGGCTCAAACCCACAAACCATGAGATCATGATCTGAGCCTAAGTCGGATGCTTAACCGACTGAGCCACCCAAGCACCCGAATGTTTTATTTATTTCCGAGAGAGAGACAGACAGACAGACAGACAGACAGACAGCGTGAGTAGGAGAGGGTCAGAGAAAGAGGGAGACACAGAATCTGAAGACAGGCTCCAGACTCTGAGCTGTCAGCACAGAGCCCGACGCGGGGCTCGAACCCACAAATAGTGAGACCATGACCTGAGCCAAAGTCGGACGCTCAACTGACTGAGCCACCCAGGCGCTCTTTTTTAAACGTACCTTTGTTCAATTATGAAAGGAAAAAGTACTGAGTAATGGTCTTAACTTAAAAGGCCAATATTTTCATAGGAATCACAAGCTTCCTGGTTTTCTCAACAAGCACTTAACCCCCAAAGCTTTAACATTTGGAAAAATATATTTTTGTTATCAAAATTTTCCTAAGAATACTTTAAGTAAAACTATGCCAATTTCTCCTCCCCAAAGGGACCACGATGTTCAATTTCCAGTGGCCCTTTGTTCAAAGCTAGTTCCAACCTAATTTCAAAAGCAAAGTGTCTAAACTAGGAAAGAAATTTAGCAACGTAACACAGAATATCGAAATGGAAACCGCATGTCCAAAATACACCTAATGGTAACAGACAGCAACTGTTTAAGAGTAACTGCAAGTAACTCCATATTCACTTCAGTTTCAATTCTGATTCATTTCTCGGTCACCAAACTGGAAAAAAAAATTTTTTTTGAGCCATTTGTCATCTCTGACTAAACACAGGCTTCAGCCCCCAAATCACTAAGTGCAGAGAAGTAAAGACTGTCAGTGGAAGGGTTTTTCCAGAAAAAGTGGTTCACGTACACAGCAGGAAAATCTTGTACTATAAGGGAACTCAGTTACCACCTTAATTCCCTCAACCAATTTGGAAACTACTGGAAGCAAATGACTAAGAAGTAAAACATGAGAAAAGATGAAAAAACATTCCTACATATTGAAAGCACATAAAGTGGTTCAAGTTTGCTTTTTGCTGAAGTTAGAATATTAAATTATTTTGCTCTGGATGAATCAAAAACTAGCTTCACTGGCTTCTTACAATGGACTGAACATTTTCAGCTGCTATAATGAATTATACCACTACTCAGGTTTTTGTTTTTGTTTTTACTACTTATATTTAACAAAATGTATCACACGTACATCTTCTCAATACTAACTATTCTTCAGACCACTGGACATGAATTTATTAAAGTCATATATTAAAACTGCCTGTTCTTGGGACAGAACACACTCCCCTTTCCCTAAAACTGTCACTCAAACACGTTTAAGCTAAAACAATCAGTAACCGTGTCACAGAAGATCTGAACGTAACTACAGTGAAACCATAAATGAGCGAGGGGTGGCATTCCCCACAAAGGCAAGAAGAGATTCATTACCTGCCACCACACAGGTAACAGGCAAAGTCTCTCGGTTTCTAGAGCACCCGCTATGCAAGGCAGCATCACTGCTCAGCAACTCAGCTGCCCGGATATCTGCAACCAAAACAAACTGCAGGATCTAGTTTCTTTTTTTCAAAAGGTAGAAAATCCCTCTGGCCTGATTTACTAATAAAGATGTGAGTAAAAAGAAATAATTAGGGGGTGCCTGGGTGGCTCAGTCAGTTAAGCTTCTGACTCTGGGTTTCGGCTCAAGTCATGATCTCACAGTTTGTAAGTTCGAGCCCCATAGGTGGGCTCCAGACTGAAAGCACGGAGCCTGCTTGGGATTCTGTTGCCCTCTCTCTCTGCCCCATTCTCTCTCTCTTTCTCACTTGCCCCATTTCTGCTCTCTTTCACTCTCTCAAAAAATAAATAAACTTAAAAACAAATGTTCAGGAGGACAGCATACCTAAGTCTTAAATTTTTATGGTTCTTAAGATTCCTCACCTTTTAAGAGAAAGACCTAGTCAGTAATGTTAGAAATTGCACACTCCATGTCTTGTAGTCAGTCAAAAAAAAAAAAAAAAAAGGCAAGTGATTCCCTTCTTCTGGGGCCGTGAGAACTTTATCACATGCGAGTGAACATGGTAACAAGGAGGTCTAGGAAAAGTGTGCAATAAAAGTGCAGCGTTAAGAATTCATAGAAAGGGGAGTGTCTAGGTGGCTCAGTCGGTTGAGCTTCCAACTTCAGCCCAGGTCATGATCTCATGGTCCGTAGGTTCGAGCCCCACATGGGGCTCTGTGCTGACAGCTCAGAGCCTGCTTCCGATTCTGTGTCTCCCTCTTTCTCTGACCCTCCCCTGCTCACACACTCTCTCTCTGAAAAATAAATAAAACATTAAAAAAAAAACTAAGGTCAAAGTCCTTTATTATTTTTAACGTGGAAATCACCTCTGTGCTGAGACGTAACCTTCTTCTTATAATTTGTCAGGAACTACCAAAAGCATTTTTAAGACAACTCCAAGTGCTTATTGTATCCAACTGATAACATACTTCATTATCAGCAGAGAGAGACCAAAAACCATAGAACCTTATGCCTTTGTAATTATCTCTTTAAGTATTTTAAATGGAAATAGCATACTATTTATTACCTCCTAATCTTAATTCCTTTCTCTTCATGCTTGAAGACTACTGACTCTCAAAACTGGATATTAAGGACTGGTTCACTACTTCTCCAATTCAGCTACAAGGCACTTTACCCTCAGTAGCAGTTCAGTATTTAACAAGAGCTTGCATTTCTTCTCTACTGATAAACACTGCCACAAATTAGGATTAACAATATGACTGAGCATGTTCTCATAACGGACTTTATAATTATTAGCTACTACCCACACCTTGATTTATGGACTCTTCTACCTACAACAGCTCCTTCAGAAAAAAGGTCACCTTAAAATAGAACTTAAGTTCTTTCTACTGAAAAGGATGGGTAATTAGTAACTAAACAGCTTACAAATTGAGTTCCCTGGAAGCACTCAAATTATTATGAACATATCTGAACTGCATGTGACTTTTAATTGCTAGAAATCTCGTGCTAGAGAAAATTCAGGAATCGATCCCACAGAAAATAATTTGCCTCTAGTGACTCTTGCCTGACATAAAAATGAAATATGGTTTGACTTCTTGCCTTGCTCCGATAAATCCCAAGTGACTTTATTACTTTAAAAAATGAAGAGATAGGATGAAGACTAATTCTAAAAATACAATTCATAAAAGAACAAGTGGGTAAACTGGAGTTCAAAATAAAAATTCTTGCTTTTAAAAGACACTATAGGGGCTCCTGGGTAGCTCAGTCAGCTGAGCATCCAATTTCAGCTCAGGTCATGATCTCATGGTTCATGAGTTCGAGGCCAACATTGGGCTTGCTCTTGGCACAGAACCCACTCAGATCCTCTGTCCCCCTCTCTCTCTCTTCCCTTCCCCCACTCACACTCTCTCCGTCTCAAAAACATTTCAAAACTAAATACAAGACACTGTTGAGGGGATGGGAAGATAAGCCACAGAATGGAAAAAAAAAAAATCACTGCAAAGCATGTATCTGATAAATGACGTGTGTCCAGAATACATAAAGAATTCTCAAAACTCAACATTAAAAAAACAATCCAATTTTTAAAAACAGGCAAAAGATCTGAACAAGTAGGGCACCTGTGTGGCTCAGTTAACTGTCCGACTCTTGATTTCAGCTCAGGTCACGCTCTCACAGTTTGTGGGTTCAAGCCCCACATCGGGCTATGTGCTGACAATGCAGAGCCTACTTAGGATTCTCTCTCCCTCTCTTTCTGTCCTTCCCCTGCTTGCTCTCTT